ACAGCAGAAGCAATCAAATGCCTTGTTTGTATGAAGTGTCCTACAGTATTGCTGAAAATGCGTCCATAGATTTCAAAAGGATTTTCCCAAGATTGTTGCTTGTCTTCTGGTGACTAGCTACTTCTAATGCTCTGGGGTTTTGCTGGGATCAGTGAAATCTGTTTATGCTCACAAGGGAGCGAAGCAAGGATCACAACCCCAGACAGAACACCTGAGAGGATCAGAGGATGAACACAGGGAAAGGAACATGACGGCATCTTGTGGCGTAATTACCTTTTTTCAAGGGGTAGGTCCGGAAGCACCAGGCCTGATGAAAATGGACTCTGCTTCGTAGCAGACTTGAACGAGTTACTCGTGGCTGCTTAGACCACCTCTGAAAATGGCATTCTCCTGGCTCTCCGAAGTAAAGCATAAGCAGACTGAAAGCCAAGTGCTCACTGTGCTGCCCTGTTACTCATTTCAGCTCCGATACAGAAGGCTTCTCCCAAATAGCTACGTTATAGTCCAGAGCACTGTCATCTTAGTTCAATATTGGATTTCTCCCAAATACTGCATGAATGTCTCAAGTGCAGAAGGGGGAAGGGTGGAAAGGTCCTGCTAAGAGCAGTTTTGGCTGGCCCAACTATTAGTTTGCATCAGCTGGTGGCTGTTATGTGAGTAACAATTATTTTGTACACAAAGCCAGCTTCTAAACCTTGCCAAACTCCAGCTCTCCCCAGTGGTCTTTGGGGTATAAGCACCGAGAGCCAAGGCACCGAGGAAGGCGTCAGCGTTGAACGAACAATGAGGGATAAGAATCGGCAGGGAACGTTTCAAAAATGATGAAAGCATTTTAGGTGTTCAAGGCCCTTGAGCTTTCAGTGAGAGGACCTTCGCAGCTCTTGGGTATTTCTCAGGCTGCTGCCTTGCTCTGTTATGCTGTCTGATCCACTCCACCAGAGGAATTTTGCCCCTGCATTGTCAGATTCTCTCTCTCCAAAAGCTTTCCACCCTGAAGGCCAGGAATTTCCAGGCTGTCGTGATGCTGAGGATCCTTTCTTTCTCCACACCTCCCTTCAGCTGCGTCTTCTGCTTTCTGTTCAGCTTTGTTATGACTTTTTTGCTCCGAGTGAAACAGTCTTAACCTTTAGATACATCTCTTTTCATGTCACTGAGGCACTGGTTTCCATCATCTTTGTTTGATTGAATGCCCAGGGACGTCAGTGGGCATCCCCTAGATTTCAACAAACTTGTGATTGAATTTGTAACAGCAAAGTTGCATATGGGGCCGTGGCATCCCCCTGTAGCTGATTACCTGGCGCCGATTATAGTATGTCCTCCTCCTGTAAGACAGGGCTTTGGGGCAGCCTGTGTTTTGCAGAATACCATAGTCTGACTGAGAGGTGATGGGCTTTGCAACAACCAGAACACCCGGTTCCAAAACATCCTCTATGATGAAGGCATGGCTTGCCTCTGCTGTCTGATTCACTTTCTTCCTACTGCGCCGTGCTGGAAACTAACTGCTTGCTTTCTTCTCCCTCAGGAGAGTTGTTTGTGAGTGTGGCTGCCCAGCAGCACGTGAATGTTGTTGGTACCTGCTCCAGTGAAACGCACAGCAGAAAAGACATGGAAAGCCGATTTTCTTACAAAAAATAATACGTGAAAGACGGAAAATTACTGTATTAATTGGAAACATTTTGGTGCTCAGAGCGGGCAGTACAGTAAAGGGAAATAGCTTGTGGTATACGGATGCCTTGCAGCATTGCATGATTGAGCTTTTGTCCCAGTGTCAGTCTGGCTGGGACTCTACCCAAAGAGCTGAACTCCTCTGTTTTCTCCTGAATCGCAGTCCTTTCATGATTTACTACCTTGCATTTTACATTACCACGCTGAGTCTTAAAATACTTGAAGATGTAATCAGCACATGTTAGAGGCCTGGCATATTTCATCTTTTAGGCACTGACTGGAACTCTGGAGGTTGGTCTGTTTCCTGTCCTTTCCTGATCATCAAATAATTTGCAAAATAACACATTCACTCTCGCATTGTCAGAGTAAGAGTTCCTTTACCATCTATCTACATAAGCATAAGGCATGAGGAAATGGCTTGTGCTGGCACTGCTCTTGTGCGATTATGTTAATCCTCCTCTTTAATTGCTACTTCTAACAATTATATTTTCCTGTATTTACACCACAACGCCTAAATAAACTTAGGCCTGCTGGACCGGCATTAGTAGTCAGGAATAGGTTTTATCTAGGGAAGTTAGTCCATGTTGCTGGCTGAGAAGGTTTCTCAGCAGGCGGTGTGTTTCTAGCTGGGTGACTTATGAGCTGTGCTATTTCTTATTACCTTCTGTTTGTTTTTCCAGGCTGCAGACTCTTGGCTGTGGAACTGACATCCAGCAACACCAAGCCCGTGGTGCAGGAATTCCAGAGTGAGTGCTGCGGGGGCCCGCTGGCTGCCGGACGCGATGGCTGCACTGCCTTCTGCCTGGGGATTTGCATCGGTCCAAACAATTGAGAAAAATTTTGCTTATTGCCCATGGTATCTGGTTTCTTGGGGGAGGCAGGACAACCGAGAGCCTGAGATTCAGAAAAGCGCTTAAGAATACGGCTGTATCTCTCCCTGTTTAGCAAAGCACTTGATTGAAATGGTTTATTGAAGTCCCCTGCAAGCCATTGGCATTGCAAAGTATCTGCCTAAGTGCTTTTTTGAACTGGATCCCAAAAGGAGGAAAGGCAGTCGCCTTGCAATTAATATACTGAAAAGGGGGTCAGGAAGTTTGTATTTTATCTTGGCCCTACTACAGACGTGCAATGCGATACTGGGTAAGCCACCTCTCTTGAACCTGCTGCGATGCCTTCTTCTGTAGAGGAGACAGAGATGACAATGCCTGCTTCAAAGGGGAGTGGGTTTGCTGAATTTATCCCCAGGCATCGTAGTCCTCAGTACATTACCAGACACCACCCAGGGAGATTCTGCATCCCTGACTCACATTGTAGGCTCTGATTAGCAGCAAGACGGTGCTGTGGACTCACCCTGTCATAAGGTCTTGTTTGCCATAAGTTAGAGCCTGTAGAGAACAGTGTGTTCATTTCTCTCCATAGTTGATATCTGTTCGGCTATTATTTTTGCTGGCCAAAATCCATCTTCCCCAATAGCTCCTGAAACCCAGCAGTGTTTCTGTTTGTGAGGCAGATGAAAGGGAAGGCTTTGCTTTGTGGGCAGGATCTCCTAATAAAACACTGTACAAGACTGCTTAAAGCAGAGCAAAAATACAGCTGCTTCCTATTAATCTGTATTTTCTTTATTTCTCCTGCTAGGTGTTGAGCTGTCCTGCATCATTAAATCCACCGTAACACCAGATCCCAGAATCGAGTGGAAGAAAATCCGAGATGGCGAAACCTCTTACGTATTTTTTGACAATAAAATGCAGGGTATGAAGATTTATTATTCTTAGGCTTCCAAAACAGCCTCAGAAACAATACAACTGAGAACAAACAAGTCTGTAGGAGGCAGGACCTCTGCCTGTCTTACTGCTTTCTTCTGGAACTAGAGTTCAGCAGTCGAAGTGCAAGATGGAGAGAGAGCAGGATGCTCTTTGCTCTCTGCCCTATTGACAGTTCACCTTTTGTCCAATTTTGCCACAGTTTTTGAGATTTGGGGTGGTGCTTTCCAGTTCATCCTCTTTCATGGTTAGCAGCGTTGGTTTCCTTTGTGGTCACTGGTGAGAGGAAGGCTCTTGAGAGCATCGAGTTCCTTTCAGGTGGTTCTCTTGACTCCAGAAAGAGTCCAAGATCAACCACTTAGTTCAGATGCCTAAAGTTAGTCTGTGTGACTACCCTGAAATTTTTCTCTCTTTTTCCTCTGTATCAGGAGACTTTGCGACTCGTGCAGAAATTCTGAGCCGGACATCGCTGGTGATTAAAAACACCACCCGGATGGACACTGCCACATACCGCTGCGAAGTGGCAGCACCTTCTGATACTAAAACCATAGATGAGATTAATATCCAGCTTACAGTCCAAGGTATTACTTTAAACCCAGATACCTCTGCAAGCACTGCTAGCTAACAGAAGAGGCTGTGAGTCTCTCCAGAGTTGAAACAGTGGCACTCAACAGACTCTGGAATTTCTCCTTTAAAAGCAGCTGGAAATGGTGGACAGTTTTGATGCCTTTGTAGCACAGCCATCTTAGAAAGTACGTCAGAAATTATTTAGTTCAACTCAGCAGTGCCGTTCACATGGTTTGTGTCTTTCCCACAGTGAAACCTATGACTCCTAGATGCACTGTGCCTAAAGCTGTACCTGTTGGCAAGACAGCCTCTCTTCACTGCCACGAGAATGAAGGTTACCCAAAGTCCACTTACAGCTGGTACCGCAACAGTGAACCTTTATCACCAGACACAAAATCAAATGCCAAATTCCAGAATTCCTCCTACACCGTGAATCCCACCACAGGCACTCTGGTAATGCCCTTACAGATGTAATCAAGACTTGTTTCACTGGACAGGTTATTTTTAAGGTCACTTGTAAAAGAAAAAAGTTATTGCATGGCTTTCGAGGAAGGTATAATTTGAAGAAGGTTAGATGTTCTAGGATCTGGATGACTTGGGAAAGGGAAGATTAATGATGGAAGAAGATACTACCCTAGCTGTTTGGTTTTGATCACTGCCAATACCACATGCCATTTTAGAAAGAGGGAAGGAAGATGCCTCACAGCCCGCTGTGAACCCTGGGCAATGGAGGGTTGCTTATACATGCTTATACCCTCACAGCGCCTTCTCTCTCTCACGTCCTGCTCTCCCCGCCTTTCTCCTCACCAGGTTTTCCATGCCGTGCACAAAGGTGACACAGGCCGTTACTCCTGCATAGCAACAAACGACGCTGGCTTTGCCAAGTGTGAGGAGCAGGAGATGGAAGTCTGTGAGTGGCTCTACATACTTTTCATCAATGCTGATTAATATATCACCATAAATAAAGTGTCATCACCATATGGAAAGAAGGGGGACATCCTAGAGCATTAAGTCTTTCCTGCTTTCTCATAGCCCCAAATGCAGGAAGAAAAAAAAAAATCTAAAAATTCAGGGAAACATTAAAATGTTTAAATTAAACATGTTCAGATTCATGAACTGTTTTAGTCTTGGAATCAGGGACTTACTAGGTCCCTATGAATTACTGGGGTTTGCTTAAAATATTCGAGAGATGTCATTTTAGTGTATGTAAAGCTAGAATATTGCTACTGCTTATAAAGAAATACTGGTTGATGGCTTCTCTCTTTGCCAGATGACCTCAATATTGGTGGGATAATTGGTGGAGTCCTGGTGGTCCTAGCAGTTTTGGTGCTCATCACTCTTGGTATCTGCTGCGCCTACAGAAGGGGTTACTTTGCAAATAGCAAAGAGAGTGGGGAAAGGTAAGCTGGGATTCAAAGTGTTCTTATACAAGTCCCTGTGCCCAACAGCTAGCATGAAGTAGTCTGAAGGGTGCCAGAAATTGGTGGCTAAAATGTATTTCAATGCCCGACTTGGACATATTTCTTCCTGGTTCCCTACCAAAGGCTACAGGCCAGCCCAGTTCTTGAAGTGTCCAATTCCCCACTGCAAACCCTGCACCATGGCAAAGGTTTATTTGTCTAAGGGAGAATTTTGGTGTGGCTTCTCTTGTGCTTGCTACCAAGACAAGACAGAGGAGTGAAAGCTGTGCTCTAATATCATCATGCTTTGCACGGGGAGGGGAGACCAGCACAATTAAGTGCCCACAGGTGTTTGTCCAATAGGTTATGTGCTGTTGGCATAATGAGGTCTACAATTTAATGAACAGAGCTCACTGCACAATTAGTTTAAAGCATCAGGACATGCATAGAAAATATATGCAGAAGAGTAGGCTCTCTGCAGGAAATCTCACTAGTTGTGAGAACCTAAATTTGGGATTAAAAACAACCATTTTAGAATGCACATTAAAATGTTAAAACCAACAGCATTAGCATCAGAAACAAGCCTTGATATCCTTACAGAATCTGTAGAAGAGATAATATATGTAAAACCAAGATTCTCACCAGATAGATTTGTTCCATGTTAACTGTTGCTTTTCAGCAGAAGTCCTGTCTTGTTTGGTTTGGTTTGTTTTTCAGAAAAAGCTCCAAATATCCTATTTAAATGCAGCTGAGGGTTGGCATACACTGGACTTGACAGTCGTATATAAATTCTGAATTCCTGTGGGATTGCAAACAAGTGGTGCTTCCTTATAACTAAGGAAAATGCTGAAGGCATCTGGCAGTGAAGGTTTAAAATGAACTTTATAATTGCTGCAGGAAACAATGCAGGAGGCACACAGAAAGGTAGTGCACAGGGACCAGAGCAGGAGAGCCCAGAAAAGAATCAGTTAATCTCTTTGCAGAATTAGTCTTGTGGAAGCATACAGCAATCTTTTTACCCTGTGCTGAAGGGGAATTTAGAAAAAAAATCCCAGTCATGACAAATGATGGAATAAGCACAGATCTATCATTTGATTCCTCATTTTCGTCTTTCTTAGCACCTCCTCTCCAAAATCCTCCTGTCTCCTTGTCCCAGAAATGAAATCTTTTCCTTTATTTCAGCTACAAGACTCCAGCGAAACCCGATGGTGTTAACTATATCCGGACAGATGATGAGGTAACCAATGATTTGCATTTAACATCTCTCTGCTTAGGAGAGGAAGAGGGTGGGCAGAGGACTACTAGCTTTTTTAGGGACTACAGACTTTCTTAGAGTGGGCACCATTCAGAAGCAAGGATTTAAAACATAGAGAAAACAGAAGGGTGAAGGCTGAGTCATTTCCTTAGAAACGATGAACAGTTTAAGTTGCCTTAAGTCACTGATGCCAAGAGCTATCAAATGCAGCTCTGCTCTGTCTCAGTTATCTTATGGCTTGACCCCTTTAGGATGAGTTTCATTGGATTAAGTGGGCAGGCCATGATGCTTTTACAAGAGAATTTGCATTTTGGGATTTGAATAGATCACTAAGCTTAAGATCAGAAAAAGCCTCTCCCTATTAGCAGAGATACTGAAGAGGGAATGAGAAAGTCCCCCGCCATGCCTTGGTATGTGAGGAGGACAGCAGGAGAAGGAGCGTCTGGCCAGTATGAGTGGTGGCTCCCTCTCCTCACCAGCTGGAAGCGGGTGCCACCTAGACCGAATGCTAGAAGTTATACAGGTTGGGTCTGCCTTTCACGGGCATGTTGCAGTTGGGGGCAGCAGGAACAAAGAGGTGCCTGGAAAAGCCACTAGATCCTTCCTACATCCAGAACTGTTTTCTTGCAGGGTGACTTCAGACACAAGTCTTCATTTGTCATCTAAGACACCAAAAGAATATTGCAAACCAGCAAAAGCAAGTGTGAAAATACCTCCTCCAGGAACTCAAAGCAAGAGCAAAAGATGAATTAAGTGCGCTTGGAAGAGTTTGGAACACACAAGAACTTGATAGCTAGCTATCTGTATATCTTCTTTTTCTTTGCCAAAGTTTAAAGTAACTCCTCACTGCCCAACTTGCGTCTCCCCTGCCTCCGGAGATACCAACAGGATCACCTAAACCTGTCCTTGGACTAAGGAAGCATTTTAATACTTCCCAAGAGACTGGGCTGTGGAAGTTTGTGGAATTGCCTTCTATTTGTGCTGCAGGGACACAGCCACAATGTGCAAACCAACCAGGGGAACAGCGTTAGGTAAACGTGTAGTAGACATTACTAGTACAAATTACTAGTAGACAAAAAAGGTGCTGATACGGCAATAGACGGACTTCAAAGAATAAGATTTATCCATGCAAGGGGCAGCCTTCCTCTCAGCAGCTTGTTGCCCAGGCCTGGCTGGTGACTTTTACACATTTGTGATTGTCTTGTGCTTTTGACTCTGACTGCTCAGGTGCAGAACGGGGTATCTGAATAGCCTACAGTGACAGATACCGCTACAGTAAACGCAACTACTGTTCTCAGCCCTTTTGTAAACTTACTGAATTCTCGTTGCTCCATTTAACATGAAACATGGGCAGCATCAGGCCAGAAGGATTGCTTCTGTTCACTGCTTTATAGAAAACCCATTGCACGCAGGTAACCCTTCATTCTAATCTGCACAAAGCAGGCTTGCCTCTTGCGTCTTCTGGTGTTTTAAAGAGGCTTATAGTGGAGGCAGAGAACCTAGTGCTAAGACATCCCTTTCAGGAAAATTAAAGCCAAATACTTTCAGGGGCTAAGATTCCCATAAAAGGTACTGAGGTGTCTTCAAGCTTTTTTACCTTCTCCATTTATTTTTTAAAATCCCACATTCTAAATTTTTTGCAAAGATATATTTTGATTACTTCAGAAAAGGTAACATTTCTATTTAAAGTGTAAATACATGATGCCAGCAGTGTTTAAGGAATGTAGCTATTTTTTTACTTTTTAAGCTACAGAGAGGAGCTCAAATGTTGCTATAGTATGGCACTGTCAGAGCATATCAGTATTATTGCAAAGTGTAATAAAAAACTGCAGGTGGAACAGCATCTCCTTCCTCTTAAGCTAGCTTCAGCAATTTCCTTGTCACAAGAGGTCTTACCAGACACAGAACAGAGTCACTCAGGGATAGTTTTTGTAAATTTATGGCAGGAGCTATCAACTTTCTTATATATAAAACTTACTTTTCTTGCCAGTGACCAACACTTTGTTTTTGTTGTTGCAAGAAATATCCAGGGATGGCTTTTGGATTCAGTTCCAACAAGGTGACAGAGTGACTTCAATGTCTGCTACCCCTCTGCAAGTTCCCTAAAGCACTAACACAGTGTGACCAGCTGTGGCAACTTGACAGGTTTAAACTGCATAGCCAAGGCAACTGTTTCTGGAGTTAGGAAAGCAAAAGCTCAATACAAAAGCACTTTTGTAGTGTCAGTTGCAACTTTTCTCTAGATGGTAAAAGAAAAAAAAAAAAAAAAAAAAAACCAATCCTGTT